TTTCTCCCAACACTACCCAAATTTGCAGAACATGTCGGGCCAACTCCTAGCACGTGCGATTCACCATGCCTGATCTGCAGGACAAAGGGGTAAAGACAAAGAAGAAAAAGCAACAGGAAGACGAGGAAGAGGACGAGGGCAGTGACTCAAGCGCAGCAGAGGAAGCCCGCAGCAAGCCAGCAAAGGGCAAAAACGAAAGTGCGGAGAAGGTCAAAAGCAAGTCAAAGAAGAAGGCGGCGGTGGCTTCTGAGTCAGAAGAGGTGGAGGAGGTAGAAACAGAAGAGGAGGAAGGCAACGGGTCTTCAGAGGAGGCGGAGGAGGATGCAGGGCAGGCGAAAAAGCCAAGCGAGCAGAAGAGCAACCCAAACAAGCGAAAGGCGCGCGAGGATGCGGAGGCGCCGTCAGAGTCTGCTCCATCGGAGTGCCAGGATCTGTCTGAGTGGGAGCTCGACCCGACTGAGGACGCGCAGGTGCTCGTCCGAAGCAAGAAGAAGCTTGACCAAGAGGCTAGCAAGAGCAAGGCGAAGCAGAAGAAAGTCATCGCGGCAAGCACAGAAAGCGAACCAGGCTCAGAGGAGGAAGGGCAGGAGGAGGTTCAGGAGAAAAAGGAGAAGAGCAAGCAGAAAGCATCGAACAAACGGCCGCAGCCAAGCTCAAGCGAGGAGGAAAGCGAGGGCGACGAGGAGGAGGAGGAAGAGAACGAAAATGACGAGAAGCAGCCAGCCCAACAACCCACAACACTTGCCGTGGCGGAGAAGTCATTGACCTTGGCTATCCCAAAAAATAAGCGCAACTCGAACACGCACCGAAAAGAGTACCATGCCTTCTGCAGGCTCTCGCAAGTTTTCGAGTGGGAATCAAATCAACATTGAACTTCATCAAAACCTAGTTTTCACAAACCACAAGTTTGAGCTCTGCTGGCATTTTCTGGGCTATCCCATTGAGGTGGATCAAAAACCCCAAGCGGCTGCCGGAAAAGCTGAGCACCATTGTCCAGACCAAGGACTGATTGGTTCCCCTGTCAAAAACTCAGCCATGCGCACCCTGCCTTGCAGGATGGCAGGGACCGCCTCTTCGAAGATTATCTGGACGCCGAGGGTGATCCTGACGACATCGTGGCCCGCTTCGACCGCCGCGTGGAAGAGTCTCTTAAGTCAAAGCTCAAGTGGGCGTTCAAGCCAAAGGGTTTCCTCACCGAGAGATTCGGGGAGGCCAAAGCAGAGCGAGTTGCAAACAGAAAGAAAGACCTGGGATTGAAGCTGGTTTGCATGAATGTGACAATTTTCCGATTGTGTAGGTCAGCAATGTTTCTTAACCTTTGAAATGTGTACACCTTTTCTTGGCATGTTGAGCTGATTGCCAAGGACAATCGCAGACCCCAACGACATTGATGATGGGACCTCGCTCTTGTATTTCGTGATGGTCGACCTGGAAATCACCAACGCGGTTGACATGAAAACGATCGTGCAAATGGAGCTTAACGGCAGCCTGAGCAAGGAGATGGTGGTGCAGTTTCAGAAGGCATCAAAAGTAATGGTCACTGCGTCACTGATTGCTGAAGTGTTTTTGAATCCGGGTTCATGGTTCTGCGGGTTGACCCTTTACTGAAGCCCCCCTGCGCATTTGTAAAGACAGGCGCTTGCAAGAGAATTGGAAAGGGCTGACCAGAAACAGCTTGAGTCGTAAGCAGGCCATGAGGGCGCAGGCTGCAAATCAGGGGTTGGTGAAGGATTTCATCCCTTTACCAAACACCTTGCGTTTCGGCCCAGGGCCTTACACGAGAAATTGCATTTGATTGCACTGCCGGACTGGGGTTCAACAGAGTAGCCTGAATGTTTGAGTGATTGGTCCAGTTGAAAGCGTTGGTACCACTTAGCGGCTTGAAAGAACTTTGGGCCGTTGCCTGGATCGCTTGTTTGTCCTAGCCCCCTGGTTCTGTCGCAAGGGTGCATTTCAAAAAAGGAGTGGCCATGTTTGTCGCTGTGACAGGCTGGTGGAGTCCTTGACCCAGCCAAGCAGCTCAAGTTGCAGGACATGGGTAGCTCCAAGTCTGCAAGCCAACTCATGGAGATTGCAGGCTCTTCTGGGCAGTTGGCAAACGCGAAGAAGAAGGCCAAAGCAAAGAAGGTTCAGCAAGACTCGGACACGGCTGCGGTGGCGCCTAGTTTCATGTTTGGTTTATGTTGCTTTGCTTTTCACCAGCATTTTTGGGCCCGCCCCGAAACAAGTTCGGTGTTTGATCTTGCTGTCGGGCCCCTAGGTCACTCCAGAAACGGCTATACAGAAAGCGCAACGTTTGGTGGAGCGGTGCTTGCGGGAGGCAAACACATGCAGGCGCATGATGCAATGACAATATCCATGTGTCAATGACCAAGTCCAGTTTCAACAGCAATCCTTCTTCGATGGTGCCAGGGACTGCGCCTTCAAGATCGGCCCCTTGAAAGTTTCCAAGAACTTGATCCGTCAGCTCACCTCCCTCGATGTGTCCTTGAAGAAGCAGGCGACGAGTCTGCAGGCCTTGATCCGCGCGGGCAAGAGCAAGAACAAGCACTACAATGACGTTGTGAAGGAGGTCGGGTTTTTAGCTTTGCTTAAACACCGCATGCTGCCTCAAACAGGCGTACTACTGTCCCCATTTCTGCAGGTGGAGAAAACCTTCGAGGTCAGCAAAGAGAAAATCGAGCTAGCAAAGGCACTGATCCGTGCTGCTGAGAAGGCGCAAGACAAGGAGTTGAAGAAAGAGCCAAAGGCAAAGTGAACAAACATGGCTGCCTTCAGCTCTCCAATGCATGGGAAAAGTTGTGACCACTTTTTGTTCTCCCTAGGAAACAAGGTAAAAAATCCAGTCACTTCATGTGGGCAGCCATGATCTAAATCATGCATTTCTGTGTAGAGGTGCCACGCTAAGCTGCTGAGGCTATGAGCGCTCACCCTTGGCAAATTACCAGTGCTAAACACAAGAAAACCATGTTTGGATGTGAGTCGGGGAGCCTCTTTGTCAGTCTCGGCGCTAGATCACCTTCGCACGTAGGCATTAGTGCAATGAAAGTTGCAGAAAAAAGTGCTTCGCCAGAGTTCCAAACCTAGCGTGGCAACTGTGGACTGCGCCTGGTCACCTTTGCTTTGGACCAAATACGCCCACGCAGGCCAGCGCCTGCTAGTGACGATGCTCAATCTGAAAGCTCTTGCCTTAAACATGCCATGGCTGAAATTATTGTTGGGCCTCGTTTGCCAAGGAGTTCATCGACCTGTTCAACAAAATCGGTCCCGTTCTCCTCGGAGGCTGCGGGCTTGCTTTCCCTCCTTGAGCGCGCAATGTGGCTATGGACAGGAAGGAAAATCAACAAGGTGCACCTCGTGAGTTGCCAGGCTCACCAATGTTAGTTCTAGCGTAGGCTTTGGGCAGTGTGAAGAAATCTTGCCAGGCGCTCTGGCACCAGTGGCCAGCTCTTTGCTGAGCGCTTACAGCATGTCATTACCCAAATTGCTGTGTTTGGGCCATGATGGGCGCACAATGGGCACGCAAGGTCACGCAAAGGTGCGTCAGTTCGGCTTGGCTCCTTGTCGCAACAAACTTGTGTCATCCAGTGGCCGCTCAACTTGGCAGAAGGCTTTTGCAAAATAAGGAGAGCTGGTCACCACGGCTAGCCGGAGTGCCAGAAGAATCCTGTACAAGATCAGCTTGGGGGACTGGTGGGGATATGTGGCTTACCCCTTTTCGCTCTTCAATGCTTGCAGGAACTATCAATTGCTGAAGGTGCCCGTTCTGCCCGTGATTCGGTGGATGACGGGCCCACCTGCGAGCTCATGGGCATGATTGCCAGTTGGGGCTCCACGCCCGGCAGTGAGGAGCGGTCCTTCTCCAGGACCTGGGGCGAAAGGGTAGGTGGGGTGCCCAGTAGTTTTGCAAATCAGCAAACAATCATGTGACTGTCAGCGTACCAGCGTGATATGTGTTAGAAATAGCACTGCTAATTTTTTGTTTGCCCATCAGGTGGTGCCACAAAACATGCTCGCTCCACCTAAGTACGGCCTATGTGACCATGGATGTGCCACGCAATGACGGCACAACAGTTATTGAGAAATGGCCACTGGCATTGCTTTGGCCATGGGACATTTTGGACTTGCTCCACAAGCAGGGGCGCTTGGAGAGCTTCATTTCTGATCACCCAGACCCTTCACAAAGAACCAAGCTGTATTGGCAAAACTCGTCCCATTTGGATTTCACAAAGGATTTGGACCTATCTGAGCCTGGCCGTACCATCCCTCTTTGCTGGCACACTGACGGGGTGCAAATTTACCGGAACCAGAAAGCCCATGTCTACTCCTTCAGCTCTGCCACTTGCAAAGGCCCCACGCTATCAACCAAAATGATTTTTTGTGTGGTACGTGACACCATGGCCGTGAAACCTCAGACCTTTGACGAGATTGGGGCGCTGACCAAATACATGCTGAAATATTTGAGCTTGGGCGTTTACCCTTCAGTGGATGAGGAGGGCAACGAGTTTGCGCCGGGGGGCCGGGAAAACAAACGAGCTGGCCAACCGTTCAAGTTTGGCTGGAAAGGGGTCTTCAGTACTTGGAAGGGGGATTTAGAAGCTCGTGTGCAACAACACAAAATGCTTCGGAACTACATGTCCACCAACATTTGTGAGCATTGTCTAGCAGGGCAGGTTGGGCTCTTCCCTTTTCGGGATTTCAGTCCAGGCGCCAGCTGGCGGGACACTTGCTTGACCCACCACCAATTCTTGCAACTCAACCCGACTGACAAACAGTCAGTGTGGGCGGAAATCCCTGGTTGGCGCAAAGAGCGGAACGTGGAAGATTTGCTCCACTTGCTCCACCAAGGAGTGGCCCCGAGACTTGCCCGAAATAGAGTAACCAGTTTTGCGATTTGCGTCGTTCAGTTTGAGCAGCGCTGGAAACACTTCGACTGGTTGCAAATGAAATAAAGACGAGAGAAACGACCCCAAACCCTACAAGAAGGCAACTGCAACGCCATGGTGCTCCAGAAAAAAGAGTTGTTAATTGCCCTAGGATTGCAATCGCGTCCCTGGTCATCGACACCATCGAGGAGCACTTGGGCCACGGCAAGACTCTGCCAGGCATTGCGGATGAGCTGTCCAAGGCCTTCGAGCATTACAAGAAGTTCTGCAAACGAAACAAAATGCCTGCATGCTCCTTCCGGTTCAGCTTGGCCAAGTTTAACAGGAAACAGTACACGAACCTCCCGGTGCTTGCGTCATGTTGCCTGGTTTTCTTTACAGGCCCTATAGTCTGTGTGTGGCTGGCGTGAATTATGGGGCTTGAAGCCGGGTTCAGTCAAGTTAGGGGTTGACCACCGCCCATGTCCCTTTGCTGAGGCTACAAGGCCAACGTTGTCAAAGGCATGGTTTACTGGGTTGCCGACTACTTGAATACGTTCAAAGACAGCCAGCTTGACAAGCAGCGTGCCTGCTGCGGCTATGCGTTGGCTAGGTTTCAGAGCATTTGTGACAGTGCCTTTGCTGCACACTAATTGGGCTCCAGGCCCACATGGTCGGCTTCTTGTCACGCGCTGCATTCAGTACCTGAGGATCGCCGGAGTGGTTCTCTGACGAAGCTCGCAGGGAAGCCTCCACCCAAATCCGCAATTTCCTTCAACTTTATCAAAGCTTGGCGGCGCAGGCGCAGTCAGCAAAGAAGAACAACTACCATTTAGTTCCGAAATTTCATAATTTCGATCACCTATCATCTTACATAGATGAGACTGGTCGTAACCCAAGGTTTGACCATTTGTATACAGATGAGGGGTTGATGGGATGCGTGGCAAAGATAGCTTCAGCAACGCATGCTCTCACTATGAGCAGGAGAGTTTTGGAAAGATACCGGGCCCATTTGGATGTGGTACATAGCCTGGTTGCCTTGTGGCCTCTCAGAGCCACCCGCTCAGCCCGCGGCAAGTAAAAGCCAAAGCAGCTGTCGCCCATCGCATCGGCGTGGCGTGTCAACAAGGTTTTTTTGTTTTGCAGCGCCTCCCCAAAAACAAAAAAAGCAATACCAACCGCAGGTTCATTGCCCCCTTGTCTTCATACAGTTGAGCACAAAAACTGTCTTCGAGCGAAGCCTCGCAAAAGTCCCTTTGATCCCCGAAGTGTGGGAAGTTACGGCTTGGGTCATGCATTGTTTGAATAGGCATTTTCTGGGTCTGCCCTGTTCATGTTGTTGGCCCTGCGCCCATTAACCAGGTGGTAAAGGGAGATCGTGTGGGGTAGGCGTGTTTTGCATGTGTGGTTGCATGCTTCTTGGGTCTGTTTTTGGGTTTGTGTATGTGTGTGTGTGTGTGTGTTTGTGTGTCTGTTGGCGGTGATGGTGGTGGTGGTGGCGGTGGTGGTGGTGGTGGTGTGGGTGCGTGTTTGCGTTTGTGTGCATCAGTGTGTCTCTGGGTTTGTGCTGCGTGTGTGTGTGTGTGTGTCACTAGACACGGACGGCTCAAGTCGCTTGCTCTCAAGAATTCCGCCTGCAAAGCTGGAAGCATACGGCGCGGCCAAGCGTGCAAGAAAGAGAAAACCAGCTATCTTTTTGACCGTGCTACGCATATAGGGTCAAGTACGGCGTTTCTGTTTGGCGCTCCGAGAAAGCCCAGCTAGGTGCTATATAGGGGCAAGAAAAGCACATCTAGGATGTGCCAGGCAGCATGCAAGGCACTTGTATATTTCCTTGTCAGCAAGACTAACAGTCTGCAAGCGCGCTGCTTGCGGCGCTGGGCTTGCAGCTATATGCCGTGCTCGAACTCACACGCCCTTATATTCGCAGCATGCCCGACAAAGGTGTATCTGATACGCCTTCATTGTTATGAGTGCTGGAGATGCGACTTCGGCTGCTCTGGGATGGTGTTACGGGCTTGGGGATGCTGTGTGTCGTGGCTGCAACCACTGTATCCACTTCCGGCCTCACTGTCGTTGGAACTGTGGTGCTCATGCAGCGTACCTGCCGTCCGCGGCTCACGTTGTTCAGCTCTGCCCTGACTGTGCGTTCTCTTGGTTGTCTGCAGTTGCTGCCTCACCTCTCCGTCCAGTTCATCCTCCTTTGCAGGCAGCCCTGAGTGCGCACATAGAGTCGGTGGTTAGTCAGGTCCATCCAGGAGCCGGTCATGGCGTGGCTCAGCCGCCTGTGCTCAGCAACCGTCGCATCAAGCGATGGCTGTACCGCTTCCTGCAACGTAGATCCGACCCTGTCACAGTCTCCGCGGCCCTAGCCGCCTGTGATGGTGCTCTCGGCTCTCCGCCTGGCCTTTCAGTTGGCTTTCGCCTCTGTATCGAGAATCTGCGTCGGGAAGGGGGGATGGTCCTGACCGTCGTCGCAGGCGAGCCTGCCATTGCCTTGGCCTGAGCTCGGGAAGGTCTCACATCCTACCGGGCCTGTTCTGGGGTGCCTTGCATGCTTCTGTTCCTGCGTTTTCTTTGTTACTCATGCTCAGGCCCCCCAGTTTCCGGCCCCACTGTTTCCACCCGCTGCCCCTGTCTTAGCTGCGCCGGCCTTGGGTTCCCCATGGTACGGCTTGTGCCTTGGCTGCGTTTATTTTTCCGGCCGGCTTGAACCCCAAGCTTCGGCCGGGGGGGAAGCGCGGGCCTGGCCTCACTAACATGTGCTGGCCACACACCAACCAACCAACCAACCAACCAACCAACCAACCAACCAACCAACCAACCAACCAACCAACCAACCAACCAACCAACCAACCAACCAACCAACCAACCAACCAACCAACCAATTATTCTAAATTCATAATTTCAATCATTAAATGTTAAATTAAATAAATTTGCTAAAGACTATCCCTCTCCCCAATTAATTATAAATGTTTCAAACTATTCTGCGAACTAAAAATTCTTTAAGCTGCCGCAACTGCCTGTTAAAAAGATCAGTCGCCACATATTGAATCCTGCTTGGCTACCACGGCTTCTAAGTTCGAAAGTCAGCTGCGCGAAACCAATTTGCAAAGTGCAGGTTCGCAGCTCCGGCTAAAAAATCGCAACTTTGTAAGGGGAGGACATGTCAAACCCTGAGATGTGCTTGTTCCAGATTCTTGTCTAAAAAATGGTATTGCCCGTAGTACGAGGGCGATTTCCAAGTTTATGAAGATATAGTCCCCTCATGGTGGCTCTTTTTCTTGCCATTGGCTTTGCCAGAATGCGTGGCATCATGTCTTGGAGCCGGCCAGTGAACTCGGGCATTTCCCCAGCATCGCGGCATGAAAGGTCGCAGCACCGAAGGGCTGGCGCAGGCTTTTCGCCGACCTCTCCCGGCACAGTAAGCTACAAGCCTCACTTTCTGAGACTGAGACGCCCAAATCCCCCAAGAACCGCGCCAAGTGCCTGGGGTACAAGCACTTTTGATGGGGATCCGTGGCATTAGTGTAATGCGCCATGCGACGGTAGGCATGGTATATGTTCCCGCTCAGTTGGCGGTTGTACTTCTCTTGCAGCATCTCTCGAACCTCCGCGACCCGCTTGTTGGAGTCTCCAGAATCTTGGCACCCGCTCACTGCCAGGTGGGCATATGTGCCGCATGCCTTCCACTTGGTGTCGTGCTTCGACACAGGGATCCTAGGCGGATTGGAAGGGAAGCCTACGTCACCAATAGGAACCATCTCTTTGCCTGTCCCCTTTACCCAGTTGCGCTTGCCCATCCGCCTAAGCATCCATCACTTTTCACCCGCCAAGGTGCAACGTGAGCCGCACTCTGCGCACTCCGAATGCCAAGGGCTGTGCAACATGGCGAAACGAACACAACAGGTGCCCATAATGGAGAGAGGAATGGATGGATAGGTGAAATATCTTTATCCACTACCATCTCTATCTATCTCTGTTCCTTACCAATTTCCTGTTTCTCTTCTTTGCAGAGTTTATTTGTCTTCTACTCATTAATTCTTGAGATGAAAGGATCCGGAAGCTGGAGATGGAAGGTAGTGAATTGATGGGTTAGTGTGTCGGTCGCTACTAAAGCTCTTTCTCTGTCATTTTAACTCTTTATTATTGGTTCTCTGACATTATCTTTCCTTTAAGTAGTTTAAAGTTCTTGTCTTTTATTAATTATTTTACCATTCTATGTTCATAGTTTACTATCATGCTTTTATGATCTTGGGAATCATAAGTTGGTGAAAGATGTGGAGAAGAACTGTCTCTCCGCTACGCTCTGTCTACATCCACTTCTCAGTTCTCAAGCTTGGGTTTTCACGTTATCTGTGGTCAATCTTGCCCAAGAGCTGGGACAGCGGGTAGACAAGGAAGACATGTCTCTTTTACTTTTCATATCCGTCCAAGCCTCTGGAGCAAACCGCAACCAAAACTATTTTCTCAAAGGGTGCCCAAAGTCCGACTCAGCGCTCGAACAATAGGTTAACCGTTTTAGGCTTGGCCAATCGAGGAGACATGTGCAATTATCGGGAAGCGCCTATGTCCCAACCACCGCTGTTGCCCCCAACCCCAGGGTTCTGGTCCCTGCTTGGTCCTGAAATACGAGTACGATCAGTTCAAACAGAGCTGGAGGCAAGCGTCGCTGCCTGGAATCTCGTGACCTTCCTGGGCAGCGTCCGGCCCGGCGGAGGCACAAACTGGGTGGCGTCAGCGAGCGTCGTGACGTCCGAGGTCCGCGTTCGGGTGGGGCTGGGGCGGAGGGTTGTGACGGTGGCCACTTCCCGCTGCAACATCCTGAGTCGCGTCCCGTGCGCGCAAAGGGATGCTCCCCCGATAAACACGCAGCTTGTAAGAATGGCACTGTGAATACCCTTTGTAGGCCCTTCGGTGTGCATCATTCACATCTATATTATTCATGTTGACCCAACAATTTGGAGGGTTTGCCTGGATTGGAAGTTGCCTAGGCAGCCAGGCAGCTGCTTTTCTCAGCCCAGCCCTTAATGTTAACCCCGGATTAACAAACCCTTGGTTGATTAATAGGGGGTGTCCCCTTTTAGTGGGGATTCAGACCACTTTTGGAGGGAACACCCCCCAAAAAAAAGGGGGCGCGTCTATTCATCCTGGGTCAACAACAGCGGCCACCTTGGTGCATCTCAGAGCTGGAAGAGACGAAGCCCTATAGAAGGCAGCAAAATGAAATCCCTCTGCCCAAGCCACAAGGCCCAAATCCCAGTCTTGGTGTTGCAGTGCCTGGTGGTGGATTCCCGGAGCCTCACTCATAGGCTTGTTCAACAGGATGGTGGTTTCCCCTTATTTTGGTGTTGAACAAGCAACATGTTTCAAATGGTTGCAAACTGAATTTCTTTTCAGGCGCCCTGTTCAAAATCCTATCCAGTACCACTCAGGAAAACCACTACCTCTGTAGCATCACCTCGCCCAGGTCCATCTTCAAGGGCGCCAGGGTCTAGCTGTTTCAACACGGTCTTTCCAGCGCAGCGCGGCCTTGGACCCCAAGAGGTCAACCTTTGGTGGGTGGCTTTCGGAACTCAGCCAAACCTAAGCCCCAGGCGCCTGAGCTGTCTGAGCTTCGTTTTGGACACTCTTTATTCCGTTTTCGGCACAAGGAGTTTGGATCAAAATTTGGCCTGACATCCCTCTTTCCCCTCCTCTGCCACCGAAACAGGGCTCCTTAAAGGGCACTGCTCTACAAGCTAGGTTGTGTAGTAGAGAGGTTAGAATAAGGGTACCCATGGGTACCCTTTATTTTCCGTACCCAAAAAACGGGTAAAAGGGCACTACTGGGGGACCTAGAAGGGGAACGAATCTTGAAGGGACTCTGCCCCACTTTGGCTATAGCGTCGAGCGCATGGCCGTGGAGGGCGACACCGGTGTCCGCAACATAGGCGCGGAGTGGGCTCTCTGCATCCTCTTCGCCGGCCCCAGAAGGTTTGGCCGTGGGTTCCCTCTCTTGGACAAACGACATTCCGCGGGGATACGGAGGGAGCGGGGATATGGGGGGATTCCAACTTGGCGCCATGTCCCATATGAAACTGAGGTGCATCAAACGGGGGAATCCTCTCGCATCCCTGGCTCCCCCTGTATCCCTGCTAGTTGGCTTCCCTGGCCTTCCAAGGAAACGGCGACACTCTGGGGCCAGTGGACTTCCTGGGCTCCCTTTCAACCGATCAACAAGGGGTTCCCGCAAAAAAACACTATTCTAGGGCTACCTTCTCCATTCTTTCCAGGCTGTCAGGGATCCTTCTTTTCAGGAAACCATCAAAAACCCGGAGGAAACAGCAGGTGTTTGAAAAGAACGATGGTTGAAAAGAATGGGGAATCAACCCCTAGAACTACAGTACGTGTTTACGTAAGAGATGCCGGCATGTCCAACCCAAACAACAAAAAAGAAAGAACAGTACGCTGCCGTCCACAACCTTCATCCCACCAGGTTCCATATTGGTGCACTGGAGGGTACATTCCAGAATAATCAGCACTTGAACATTGGGGGTCTGTTGACTCCTTGGGGTGCAACATGTTGGGTTGACGGAGGGGGTTGGCCCGGGGTGGGGTGGGGTGGGCTGGGGCGGGGTGGGGTGGGGTGGGGTGGGGGTGGGGTGGGGATGATAGTGTTCATGGGATGAGAGGTGACCGCTCTTTGGGGTGGGGTGGGGTGGGGTGGGGACGATAGCGCTCATGAGATGACAGGTGACCGCTCTTTGGGGTGGGGTGGGGTGGGGTGGGGTGGGGACGATAGCGCTCATGAGATGACAGGTGACCGCTCTTTGGGGTGGGGTGGGGTGGGGTGGGGTGGGGTGGGGTGGGGTGGGGATGATAGCGCTCATGAGATGAGAGGTGACCGCTCGGGGACGATAGCGTTCATGTTCGGCCGGGGTGATGTAATGCAGGATTGCTTTGTAACGTGCTCGCACCTTCTTGAGTGCTCAGGCAGATGGAGTCTGCAGGTTTAGCTTTGGTCATACTACTTCGTTTGGCGAAGGTATCGCCCATTCCGTTCTTGCGAAAGTGGTGGCATGAAGATGTGCGGTATGTGGATGCTCTACACGAGAGGCATGTACGTATATATATATATATATCGTATATATAACGATATATATATATATATATCGTATATATATATATCGATATATATATATATGTCTATTTATGTATATATATATATATCTATTTATATATACATACATATATACATATATATTTATATATATTTATACGTCCGCTGATTAAAAAAAAAAACGTGGAACTGTCACGGCAGCGTACTCCAGTTGTTATCTCGGGTACGCGAAGTTGCAGGGTTTGGTAAGCGACATTCCTGGGAGGCATGCTTGAAAATGCAGTGATTCGTGGCACATTTGAGCACATGTTCAATGCGATGCACTTTGAACTCGCCATCGTCCCGGGCCAACCCCCCCCGGCAACCCAACATGTTGGCTCGGAATGGCTCGGAAACATCAACAAACCCAAATGGCCGTCCTGGGCCGCCACAAGTTGTCAGCCCTGGCTCCCGCTGTCGCCATGGCCGTTGGGACGTCGGAGGTCGGAAGGCGCAGGGTACTGGAGGGACCGAGTTTCGCGCCTCCCCCCCTAGATCGGCAAATATGGTGCTCCTCTGAACGAGTTCTTCCGGCCTGGCGTTCCCCAGCCCAAGTGGTTGATGGATTTCGCAGGGTCTGGTTGCACATCATGCTTTCACAGCCATCCGCAGTCTCCAACATAAGGTTGCCACGACCGAACATCCGTGAAAGGGATCCATGTGGCTACATGGCCTAACTTGGATTCGTCGCAAGCATTGCAGATTGGAGCCAAGCGGCAAAGCACAGGCAGGTTCAGGGCTGACGCTGGGCGCTGATGTGCTTTTTGGGTGTCTGGGGGGGGGGTTCGCAGTGGCTTTAGCCTTACTTTGGGATGTTGTTGAGTGAGTTCAGGGCTGAAGCCTAAATGAACCTGCCCAAACCAAGTCCCACCTCAAGCATCTCAACAGCCCCCTGACAACAGGTTAAACGCAACATGCTGCTCACAGGCCCACTGTCACAAATCCGTACCAAGCTGCTTCAACTGATGCTAGCAATGCAGCCCCCACACAAGCAAAGCAACCGATTGACCAACCAACCATGCCAAGGCTAGGTGAAACCTGTTTTGGGTACGTTCCCCCACAGGAAGTTCATGGACATTTGAGGGCAAATCCTCGCAAACCCAGGCAGGTTCTCACACAGTGGCCTGTATGCCACCCCCTTCCATACTCATCGAATCTGCAGCCACAATCTCAGCATGTTTATCGCCGCACACTTTTGCTGCAAACATCTCTTCCTTCAAACTTCCCCAGGCGTAGGATTTCTCAGAGCATAGCAGCGAGGTTGATCTTCCTTCGATTCGTCCATCGCTTGTCCTCCCAGAACCAGCCCGTAGCCGAGCGCCACAGTTCACTTGCTTGCCAAATAGATGTGGCACCTGCATGCCCAGCGGCAAACGCATCTGGACATGCGATCAGTGCGTGGGAAAGTCGACTTCTCGCTGAGGAACGCAGCGTCTGACCATGGGCAAACCTGGAATTGGCTCGCCTTGGCTTTTGCACTGGTTTTGTCGAGTGCTCACTGCACCAAAGAAGAAACTCACCCATCCAAGCTGGCATGACCCCAAACTGACAAGGGTTCACCAACTGTGGGATAAGCGGCTTGCTGCGTTTCATCACACCCGTCAACACTCTTTATGCGGGTCCATGCTGGTCCCAAACGAATCGGTGGCAGGTATCTGCAATATTGGATCCCCAGGAAATGGGCCTTCACAGTGACCTCGTACCCCATCGGTGAGCACGAGATCGTCAACCCTTCCCCGTCCCGTGGTTGAAGATTGGGGATTTCCCCCCACTTGTGGTGGGAACCCGGATCATTTTGTTGGTGTTTCACACCCCCACTGCGGATGGACCAAATCCTGCACCACCTAAGAATTCCTGGAATGATGATTCCCTTGTGAATACCAACGAACAAGGGTTTCAAAGTGGTGCGGTCACGGATTTCGTCCATCCACGAAGTCGGGTTTACCAGGGCCCCCAGTGCAATCCAACACATCCAAGCCGCCAATTGTCGGCATCAAAGCTCCACACGCCGCGGCTTGATGAGAAACCTGGGCTTTGATCCGAACTGGAGCCTTTCATTGCCAGCTTCCAATTGGTGGGAAATTGGCGGATTTGAAGCCCTGATTCTTGAGGGAAAAGGGGAAGCCCCCCCCAAACCCAACCACCAATCCAAACCCGCCAAGCAAAAAGCTGGCTTCTCCCCAAATGGGAGAAACCTACAAGCATGGAAGTACATATGGCCCTGGAAGACTATCCTTTATCCAGTTCCATGAGTGCTGGACGGTAACCTCGCCTCCGGCATGGATTGTCGCCAACAACAGGCAAGCTGCTTGTTTACCATTGCAACGAGGTTCTCAACACAAACAAACGTCCAGAAACCAGAAAATATCTAAGATGGCTTCCACCCCGAAACCATTACCCTGTGGGAAAAGCAGGGTTTATAGCTTTCTCTAGCTTCCATATCCCTAAATTATTGGGGATAGTGGGGGATGGAAGCCATCTTAGGGAGTCATGGTTGCACTGGTCAAGAGTGTGCACTAGTTGTGGACGATTTGTCATGGTTGTTCCTATGTTTTTGATGTTCTTATCAAAAGCAACGCCTTCGTTTCCGGAGTGGTTGGGAGCAGCTCCGGGTAAAGCTCCAGAAGGGTTCCGAGGGTTGCTGTTGAAAATACCAGGGCTCGCTAGTTTCGCGGTTCTTAATTATGTCCATTGCCAAGTTGTGGAATGTTTCGTACTTTGTGGTTGTTCTTGCTTTCCGTCATTACAGGTGGAGGGTGAAGTAGCTTTTAATAATTACTTGCCTGACGCGCTCTTGAGCTGAACTGTTTCCTGCAAATGTCCTACTGTCGCTACATGGCCTTATTTATGCTGCTGTTCCAATTTTCCGCTCTTTGTACTTTTCTGTACGGCAAGGGACTTCTTCAGCGGCCCTGTGCGGCACTGCGCCACCCGCTCTTCCACCAGCGCCTGGTAATCCGGGACCTCGGCCCTTGGCGCCAGAACCAAATGGCCCCTCAGGGCCCCAGGGAAACCCCAAGCAGGCGATTTAAACCATAGGTGTTTAAATATGTCAAAACAAGGGCTGGCCCCTTTTTTAAGGTGGAACACCCAAACAAAGACAAGTGGATGGACGAAATCCTGCACCACCTATCCGCTGTAATTACCCATGCGCAAGGGTCGTACTTTTGGATTCAGTGTCGTATTTCACCAACAGGTTGACTCCGATTGGTGGTTGGGGATTTATCGAGGGTCAACGGGTGTTTTGCAGGGGCACTCGTGTGTACTTTGGCACACATCAAACTGGCCTCAGAGTCACACCCCCAGTGGTAGGTTAAAGGGAAACCGCCTCAGTTGCCGACTTTGGCCCCAAATACTGACCTTGTCAAAGGCTCCAGAGATGTAAACCCAAAACGAAAAGTGAGGTGCGTTAACGAACCACCCCTAAGCACCACAGCACGAATCCAAACCACAAATCTTGCTTCCAGCATGGATTGCCCAAGACAAGTCCAAACTTTTCAATTTTACTTGGTTTGCCCAGAATTTTATTGAGGTCCAGCAACTCAGGGCGTGAGCGATTGGCAGCTCCCTAATTCCACCTGTGCCCCAAACCACCGCCCATGGCTCCGTCCAGCTTGGTGTGCCCAAGGCTCCGAAGCTCCTGCGTCGAAAGCCGACCGCATGTCACCGCCCTGGGTGTGGTTCTCTTAGGGTTCCCGTTTAAAGGAAACCAAACAAAAAAAGCCCCCACTTTCTGACGCATGCCCGAATATGTGCAGGATGAACATCAAAGCTAGATGAAGAAGCCGTGCCGTGTTCATCCTCGAAGGGGACATGCATGGGACATGCCTGCAACGCTCGCAACCACAGGCGGAGACTAGATGCCACCTCAGCCCGCTGCAGCCGCGACAAACGGCGCAACGGAGAGGAAACGCAACAAAGACAGCACAAACAAATCATGTTGACCCCGGCTTCTTTGGAACCTGCGGACTAACACGAGGGTGTGTTTTATTTGTGGAAACTCAGGGAGTCGCTATGCTTCAAATTGAGCCTGAAAAGGGGTTTGATGCCTTCGATGGGTTACCGGTACCTTTTTGCGTTCGAAAGCAACCCAATCGGGGTGGTCCCTTTCCTTTTCTGCGTGACTTTCAGCCTTCCGGACTTCTGGCTCTCATCTCAATGCCAAGCCCCATTGCCGCGGCTTATTCATCCCGGGCTCCCATCCACTGTGCACGCATATCATACATTCATGTGTATTTGCTGTTTTCATGCCCAAAAACTGGGCCCATTGAAGCGACATCGCAAAATCCCCTGCTGGCGTGCAGCAAACCACTCACGAGGCTGTCACCTGTGCAGCCGCAGGAGACGGAGAAAACAAGGCGAGCCATCATCTCTGAAATCACCCCGCGTGACCATCTTAGACTGCAACGGCCCTTGCTCAGTGCCTGGTGCCTGTGGTTTCGTCTCAAAAATACAAGAACACCCTCAACCAGCAAGTTTTACAATAATCCCAAAAGCTGAATTGAGGGATCCCCAAGTACAGGATCTTTACCATGGTGTGCTCGTTTTACCCTGAGGTGAGCTCGCTATAAAAAGGGTAGAACAGGGGGTCTCCTGCAAGCGCTGCTGCACCATGGTTCGCGCAAGCGCGGGGTCCAAGCCGCTCGCCAACTCCTCCAAGAGCAGCAGGACCCCCGTGAGCGCGCCTTCTCGCAAGCCTCGAAGCTTTCGGAAAACCTGAGAGGCGTACCTCTCGTACATGGGCTATACATAAATATAGTATGCGCATGTGTGCAGATGTATGTACATTCATACAGATATAGACGCGTTAAATATGAATAGCGTATAAATACGGATATGCAAAGACAAGAAGCTGTATTTTTCAATAAGCATCGCATCACATAGGTTCACAAGGCTTGGCTTCCCTTTTCTCCATGCTGGCAACTGCTTCTTTCTCAACGGGATGCACTTCAACTGAAAAAGGGACCACCCGTCGAATGCGAAGAATGGCAGTAGGGTTTGCGTAGAAAAGCTGACATCCCTCAAATAGATCTGCCCTGTGAATCAGGACAAAGTTGAGTCCGAAAAATCTTTCAAAGGCCTTTTCCTCCCTGAGCCGTGGGTCCCATCTTCACCTCTCCAACGGCGTTAGAGGCCCACTGAGCTCCAAGTCCTGGCACTAAACCCTTTTCATTAGGCTGCAATTAGGACCCCAAAAAGGACCCCAAAAGGGACCCCCAAAAAACAAAAAAGGGACCCCTTGCAAAGAAACCCCAAAAAAGAGGGACCAACAACAAAAAGGGGAGCTAGTTCTGGGGAAGGTTGGGGCTTGCTTGCTCCTTGGGCGCAGGGGGCTCCCTAGGCGAAGGGGGCTCCCAGAGCTGGCAGTCAGCTTTCCATGCTTTTGGTTTGGCCCGGCTCCTTTGTCAAGGAACCTTCCGGCAGCTGCCACGCCGAGGGCCACAAACGAAGCCCAAACCTTCCACCCAGTTTCCGGTTGGACTAGGTGGTAAGAACTCAGCAATCCCAGAACTGGTCCCTGCCTCGCTGCAAGCGCATGCTCAAGCCGTCGTGCTTCTGCAACGCTGCAGATATCTTCTGCGCCACCTCTGGCTGGTTGTGAGCCTGACGAGCTGGGTTGTACTGTGTGGATGGACGAAATCCGTTCGCACCAAAGTCGGCGCCGGAATATGCCGGAATGGCCATGCTGTGTCTCATCCCTCCAGGGACCGAATCCCCGCTCCCCGCACTCCATGTGGAGAATTAGGCCGCTCGCTGCGCGTCATTTGCACGTGGCTCCGCGCAAAAATGCAGGGAAACATATGATCTTGACACAAAGAAGTGGATACAGTAACTTTATATTGATGTACACAACTATATAGAAACATACTTATATATATATATATATATGTTATACATATCATGTTCTATAAATGCTGCATATGCATTGCGCGTGTGCCAACTGGAAGAGGTACTTGTCGGAAGCGTCATAAGCTCTCCGCCGATCTGTTGGGAAAAAAAGCCCAGGCAAAAAATCGGTCGTTCGTGAATCGAACGTATGTTTGCATTTTAAGGCTGACTAAATCTGAGCATAATCTCAACATACTATGTGTTTAGTGTTCTCCAGAATTGGCCCAAGAAGGGTCAGTTGAACAAGGATACGTGTACGATGATTCCCTGGGCAAACCTACGACTTGAGCCTGTAACATCTGGAAGTTGCCATGTCTGCCTTCGACCAAAAGGTTTGTTTCAGGCGCCTGTCTCGCATGCACATGCTCTGTCGTTTGATTTTCAGATTGGTTTAGAGGAAAGTTACTCAGAAACCTAGTTGACTTCTTCCGGGGCACTGAGTTGACAGGCCGGGAATATCAAAAGAACATCGAAACCTTTTAGCCGGAGTGTCATGGGACAAATCGGAAACCGTTCTCTTGACATCCGATCCGTGAGCTCCTCGCAAAGAAAGTGCTCAGCTTTTTCATGGATGGAGGTCGTTTTGGCACCAAAAAAACATTCCCAGATCACATGATATCACATGTTTGAGCAAAGGGGTCCAGCAAATCAGCTGCGGTACTGCAGCATGTGATTTTCAAGATCGAAGCAGGGGTCCTCCAGGATACACCCAGAAACCAGCTGCTTTACAAGGAGATCCTCTAAACAACGGTGATCCTTTGAGTGGACCAGATCTATCCTGTAAGGGGCCTTGACTGACTGAAGCTTTCATATACTTTTGCTTGAGAAGGGTGCTGAGGATGGGCCAATTCAAAGTAAACGCTCAGCTGTAAGAAGCAAGTACGACAAACCGGTGGCGAAAACAAGGGGTGGGCAAAACTAGTTGAGACTCTGATCCCCTTAAAAGGGCAACCAAGAGGAGATCGCTTAGATAAGTGAAACACTCCCTTGCCCAAAGGACCCGGGGGGAAAAAAAACCGCCCCGAGCACAGACCGACTCCTTGCCTTGGCCACGTCCAGCAGAACCCTCACTGGAGTGATCCGCGGCATCAGGGAGAAAACCAGATAGCTGCTGGCTTCACACCTCACACCAAAAGATGAAATGGGTATGTGTCAACATTGAAGGACCCCAAGATGGTGGTTTTCCTTTTGGCCTCCAACCAAACACACACACACACACACACACACACACACACACACACACACACACACACACACACACACACACACACACACACACACACACACACACACACACACACACACACACACACACACACACACACACACACACACACACACACACACACACACACACACACACACACACACACACACACACACACACACACACACACACACACACACACACACACACACACACACACAGAAACACCCACATACACGCAAACACAAACACACGCTCGCGCACACACACACACACAGAGAAACACCCACATACACGCAAACACAAACACACGCTCGCGCACACACACAGACAGACCCATGCACCCACACACCCACGCACACACACAGACAAACACAGCGGCGCGCAAGTCTGTTCCCGGTTGCCTGCGTTCGAAGTGATCCAACTTGCTGCAGGTTCCTTTTTTATGTGTCCATTTGCAATTCCCCGCCAAAGATCACCTCCAAAATCGGCCCAAACGGTCTGGCCCACACCAAACGCAGGGAGTTCTTAGGACCCGTCCAACTTGTGTGGGAAAAAATATGGGTCTGTCGATCTGCCTGTTGGTTGTTCATTGGTGACTGGTCAGCCGCCTCCCTGAGTCAGCCTGCCGCTTGGCATCTGCAAAACCCTGTGCCAGATGAGCGCTCTGCGTGAGAGCTGGGGAGGGAACCAAAGGAGCCCCCACCCCAAAGACCTTAACATTAAGTGGTTAGCAACCCACGTAGGAACCTTATAATCATACTAGGTGACCATAACCATGGTTCACCACGTACAAACATCGCCCCAAGCACGGCTCCCCGGACGTCCCGCTGCCGGCCATCCGCCGCCTCTGCGCGTGCACGAAGTCGCGCGGCAGCCGCAGCACCGCGCCCCTGGCCAACTTCGCCACCTCCGCCGCCTCGGGCGCGCAGGCGGAGTCCGCGTGGTCCAGGCGGTGGAGGAGAGGGCGCCAGAAACTCCTGGCGTCCGATCCAATGGGGGCTGGGGGGGAGGGAGGGGGGGAGAAGGCCGTATTAGGGGCTTAATAAAGGCTTATTTGGGCTCCCTCCCCTCCCTCCCTCCCCAGCCCCCATGAAATTGGCAAGATGTGAGGTCTTCTTGCCATCCAAGTCCCCCCCCAAAAAAAGAGTCACTGGCAACATGAGAAATACGCCTGCCATGGGGAAGTTTGAAGGAAGAGATGCTTGCAGAAAAAGTGTGCGGTAAGAGATTGTGGTTCCCGAGGATTTGCCCGCAAATGTCCATGAACTTCTTGTGGGGGAACATACGCAAAAAACTCCAAAAGCTGAACGGGAGTGGTTTCACTTGCCGCCCCCTCAAATTGGCAAGACCTGAGATCTTCTTGCCATCCGAGTCCCCCCCCAAAGAAAGAGTCACTGGCAACCCATGGCATCCTATAAAAGCCTATGCCATCCAAGTCGCCCCCCAAAAAAGGTGGCAGGAGTTAATGGGCAACAACCCCCTGCCAAACGGAAAACAAGTCGCCCCACCCCCTTAAGCAAAAGTCACATAGAACTATTACACACTGCTTCAGACTCCCCAGAGCAGCCATCGGCGAACGAAGGAACACCACAACGCGGCTTTTGACGTGCCTAAAACCCAAACAAGGCACCATTGAAGGCCATAAGCTTCCAAATCTCGAAATCTGTATGGGAAAAACAACACATGCGCAGATTTTGTACTCACTCTGCACTCAAATGCATGCAAAGGAAATGTCCGTATGTGTGTGTGTGTGTGTCATGTATATGGTTGGAAGTTGGAAAACATGATGCAGGTTTTGGCAATCCAGCCTGGAGGTATTGGCATCTATGTCTGTTGGGAAAAGGGTAGATGCAACTACCCGAGCCAAGGCACGCTGTACACAGGCGAACAACTGAATATGGGGTTAGACCCAAACCAGCCATCGCCATGCGATTGCAGCTTCCCGTTGGCAACTTGAAGCAATGCATGCATGACCTACATGTAATGTAGATGTTTTTTTTTGCAATTCCATATAACAAGCTCCCAACTGCATTTGGATAATGTTGACCCCATTTTATGGTGTACCACTACGTGGCTGTGGGTCAAAAGCAATGGTACCATTTTGGGGTACGTGCACCACCCATGTTAGTCTATTTTAGTCGGGATTGGCGATGTTCACTGGGGGTACGGGATTTTGGATTTTGATCCATGGCCACATGGGAACGAGTTCCGAGTTTTCCATGGCAAGCCCGGTCCAGTCACAGGAGTCTTTGAGCTGCAGCACCAGCGTCTCGTTGGGTTCTGCGCTGCAACCGCCCGAGGTGCCCACGTGAAGGGCTGCAGAGACCTCAGAGGGGAGAGGCCAGGGCCCAAGCAGTGGCATGGACGGAGGGGAGCTGAAAAAGCTCGAAAACCAAATTCAGTCATCTGTAGAGAGGTTAGAATAAGGGTACCAACTTCTTTCTGTAGTCTATTTTAGTAGAGTGTTCATTCTAGGCAATGCAGCGAATGCCGATTTGTGCACTTTGTTACTGGCCAAACATACAACACCTTTTCAGGCAGTCAGGTTGGATAGCACAGACAGGGTTCAGTTGACTCCGACTTACCTTTCTCAGTCCAAATGCATTTTTTCTCTCAATCCTACGCCTTTTCAGGGGCAAAAACCGCCTGCCCGGCCTTCGCCAGACGCGTGAAGGGTGCCGTGACTCTTGTAACCGACTTTCGCCCGCAACTTCTCCAAACAGGGCCACGGAAGAACTAGCACCAGGATCATCTTGCATGTGGTGAACTTTAGTTGAGAGGTTCGAACATGGTTGTGACAATCCCGAGGAATAAGATTTCTCACTACCAAGGGCTCTTGGTACAGAAAGTGAAGCTACCACCACCCCGCCTACCCTTGCACGGAGGATAACCGCTTTGTCTGCGCGTGTGTTTCTTGAGGCTGCTATTTCTCCCTCCCGAAGCCCATTTCAGCTCGTCCAAATTCCTATTTGTCTTCCACCCTGTGGAAAATTGGTGGCTGAAAAGAAACCGAGCGCAAAACCCATGGCCTACACTTGTGGTCTTGGCGTTTTGCCTAGGCAAAGTAGATTCGTTCACCAAGGCGCTAGGTCCTCCAGTAGTTAGAGAAGGTTGGAATAAGGGTACCTGTGGTTCTGTAGTCTATTTTAGCACCCCAAAAAAGGGTAAAAGGGGCACCTGGAAGGGGTTTGGACGCCGTAATCCCGCTCGGCCAAAAATTTGCCCAGACTCAGACACTCAAAGAAACCTTGAGACCTGACAAGTCACCACTGATCCCGTCTGCTGAGCAATGTCGGCCGCCAGCGCAGCCGCGGCAGGCAGAATGGTCTGCAAGGAATGCGTCATATGGGTATGTGCCTAGATGGACCCAACAAACAGGTTTCCCTTTTGGGTTCTTACACCAACCCCCGCAACGGATGCCCTAAAACAAACAAAAGCAGCCACAAACACACGCACACAATCCCGTTCCCCAACTCCCCAACTGGGAAAAGCGTTGTCCCCTCCCCCCCCCCCTTAACCGCGCCAAAAGTGTCAGATTAGATTTTGGCGCGTTTAACCCCCCCTTGTCCCTCCCTCACCATACATTTTTCCCTTGCACCGACAAAGGCGTAAAAGGACCCTTTCCTAGTGGCACCCCCTTCTGGTTGAATGCCCAAGCCGGGCCACTTGGCACTAACAAGCTAACAAGCAACAAGACGATGGAATTCAGCTTCTTACATATATCCAGCGGTCTACTGCTTTGAGGGGTACTGCTTCGCACCAGAACAAACTTGCATTACACACAAGGCGGGAGGGCATCCGCGAAATTGTATATGCCTCCTTTTTGGACAGCCTAAGGGCCAGTCGCGAGCCTTTGGCAGGTATTGGCCAAGCGGACCTCCGATCGCGCCTCCAAGTGCTTGAGTGGCTGTCCCAAGCCCAGCTGAGAGAGGGCCTGAAACGTGCCGGCGGCCTTCAAAACTTGCTGGCGCTCAGTAGGGAATGTGGGAATGAACCCAGGGATTCCCTGAAGGAAACCACCAGTTGGATGGTTCATAAGGGTCATTCATGGTTATTCCCTCGTTCCCTGCTGAGCACCAGCAAGAAAATGAAGCTCTCTTGCTGGTGATCAGTAGTCCCTATTCTGATTCACCAGACTCTTGGCCACCAGGGGCCATTGACATGAAGAGGGGTTTAGGAATGAACCTCGCCATCCACAAAGAAAACCAACCGGTCGGATGGTTTATCGTTTCTTTCATTGCTGAGAACAAGCGGATAGTTCAAATCCTGCAAATGGACACATGTGGAACACTGAGAAATAACGGTTACCTGTATATATAGTTGGTAGCCAGCCTGGTTACCTACTGTATTGGTAGCCGGTAGTTCCAAGAACCACAAAGAACCGTGAAACAAAGTGCCGGAACCGTGAAATAGGTGGGTGAAACCGTTGTGTGAGAATTCAATCGACCATTTCTGAGCATGCCACTCCCCCCGAATGTGACCCCTGGAAACACCCAAATGAATCCAAATGAGACCAAGGCCCCACAATCGGCCTATCTAGTGCTTTTTGACCACGCGCCGCGTAGAAACGGCAAATGAGCTGCAACTCGGCAAACAGGAAAGGCGAGCTTTCTTGTTGCTGGTAGTGTGTGATGTGGAAGTGCCAAGGAAACAATGCACATCGGTCCTGAGGTTCCAAGTTACATTGCTGTATGCCACTAGGGAGCTTTGACTTTGGATACAGGAGAAAAACGAAGGGCACCATGGTCACCTGCCTTGCCATGATGCTTGCCTGCTAAGGGGCCAAGGCCACTGAGGTGGAAAAGGATCTGGCCGTCTGCTACAGGAGAACAATCAGGAAAACATCACTATTCTACAGGAAACGCAGGAAGAAGCAAACAACATCACGACTACCAATGAGAAGGTGTCAAAAAACCAGGGATCCTATCCAGGTGGCTGTGGCTGGTGCCGTTGGTTTCTGACATCGACACGATTACGCAAGGCCCGAATAAGAACACTCAAACCCTTTACAACATGGCGCCGTACTGTATGGGTGGCAATGAAATGCAAACCTAAATGCTATCCCACCATACTGCGGATGGACATGTTCTTGCACCCTGGTTTCTCTCAGTTGGGGTTCCATCCTACCTCCGAACTGGTGCCTGACGTGGATCTGTTCAGCGTCACCACTAGATGCGTGGCTGGGTCTTTCTTGGGTATAACAAGTTTTCTGGGGTCACTTGAAGGGAAACTACAAGGACGCCGCCTGTTTTTGGTGTTCTACTTCGAAACACCCCCTAAGTCCTCCAGTAGAGAGGTTAGAATGAGGGTGCTCTTTTTTTCTGCAGTCTATTTTAGACTACTGGACCTAGCCCCTATCCAAGGAACATCGCCCGCAAGCTGTGAGGCACTGGTCCTTCCCCTGCCTTCACCGCTGGCAGCAACTCCGACGCCAGCTTCTGCCGCGCGGCGGTGGCGGGCAAAAGCCTCCCGCCATCCCGGTTCGACCCCCGAACCCTGTCATCGCGAGGGTTTCGGGGATCTACTCGGGTCTTATTGGGCATGCTTGGAATTTGTGGGCAAATATACCGAGTTTTCCGCGAATCTTATGCGATTTCATGGATGATGAGCTGTCCACATCCAACATGATCCACAATGCGGTAGGGGGCATGGCCCAAGGCGCAAGCGGGCCTGCGGCTCAAGCCCTGCGAGTCAAAACGATCTGCACAATCGGCCCACCTGAATCAAACACAATCCCACCACCAATTAATTCAAATCACCAAAGTGGGGCTGCTTTTTTGAGGGTACCGTTTTGGTGGTTGTGTGAAAGGAAAATCAAAGCAACCCCCCCCCCAAACGGGTCCCTCAAAACAAGACTTAAAGGAGCCAAAGAAGGGGTCATCCAAAAACTACCCGACTTGCAAGATCCTCAGCTGGCAAATGTGTTGTTGAAGGCGGTCAAAACGCAACCTAAAAGCCGCCACATTTTCTTTTAACCAACCACGACCGAAAGCACGTGGTACTTGGACCCGTGTGCGAAACAACCAAGGAACGGTACCCTAGGTGGGTAAAACGGGCGTTCCAACCACAAACCTGCTTTTGACCGCAATGGCTTAATGGGGGGTCGACAAAAGCGTGCGGCCGTGGCTCAAACTGTTTTGCCATCAAAGTCTCCCCTGGAAAGTGCGAGGTCACAAGTACCCAGAGGGTCCAAGTGCCTTCTAAGGAGGTACTTAGACTTAGACCCCTTCTTATCCCCAAAAGCCATCCTCATGGACCCTCTGGGGTCAACAACCCAAGAAAAAAAACTGACTAGCCCTCAGAAACGGTCAACAGAATTCATGTCAGCTTCGGATTGATCCGGAGTGTCGTGCATCACAGGGGCAGGTTCAGGGATTTCTTTCAAGGGGAGAGCCCTCCAGATTCACCACGCTCGTGGCTTTTTTGCTTCAGCCGCAAGGCTCGTGACTTTTCTAGGGGTTCGAACCCCGACCATTCAAACAACTGTTTTGGAGGACCCCCCAAAAACTTCTTGGAGCGTTTGGGAAAACCACCAAACCATTGAAACAGCACCAACTTTTTTGGACCCCGACCAAACAACTTGGAGCGCTTAGCCGTCACGAGCGAGCCTCGGGCCCTCCAGTGGCTCCAGCTCCTCCTTGGTGAACACCTCCGCGCCGATTTTTTTCGGATGGGGAAGGGCGGGGGGGGGGCCAAAACCGGCGGTGTCGCCCGTTTGAGGCTCCTCTGAAACCAAGGTAAAGAAATGCCCTGCAAGAATCATAGGCAGAATCCACTCACCACGCAGACGTGGAGGAGTTGCGGAAGGCGAAACACCCTGGAAGTCGGATGGGTTGGCCTTTTGGGAAATGGCACCCCTTTTCGGGTCAACATTTGTTTAAAGGTCACACACGGGTCTTCTCTCGGCACGCGTGGCAAAAACCGAGCGAACAAAAAAGCAAGCGCTCGCTGAGATCGAGGCATTTCCGCTGGGCAGAGAGCACACGTCCATTCCCGCGAGCGCCACTGTGGCAAGCAGCGCATGGAGGGCACACACCATGCGCCGGGCAAACCGGGCTTTCCCGACCCGAGAGAAACTAAGAATGCCAAACTCATGTTCCACCCTGAGGAGAACCAAAGGAACCCAAACCCATGTCTGCCATGGGGGCAAATGGAAATTGGATTCATGGACTGAGGCTGGGTCGGGTTGGGCTTTTCTAGCAAAAGGGGGGGGTTGCTTCACCTAGCTGATCCCTTTCAAATGGATTGCTCCCCCCCGCCTGAGCAAACAGGTCTAACCTTTTGTAGGTTCAATTCAAAAGCAATTTATTTGCAGAAGGTCCAAAACCAAAGACCAGCCTATCGAGCCGTGCTCTTGATGATGCATTTTGTTGGAGGCATCAAGCAATCCTAACCTGGAGTTTACCCGCTGGAGCCGGTGGAGCTCACACTTTGCGCCTTGCTAGATATGGGAAAGCTCTGCAAAGGTCACCAGCTCAGCAGAAAACTATAGCAGACATCCCACCTTGGCCTGAGTTGAGAAGCACCTTCTCCAGCTAGAGCGCCCGGTTTCAACTCCCAACACTCAAGCTTGAAAGCTGAAACCTCCTGATATGACCGTGTCTTGCTTGATGGTACGTGTGCGGGCTGGGGTACAAACATGACGCACCAGCACGAAAGTGGGACCACAAGCTGTGCAGGCGCTGTTAAAATCGCCAGACATGATAATCGCCGGATTATGACACAAGGAATCTGTGCATTTTGGAGGGTCCTGACCATCTCTCCAAAAGCTCGGACTTGCTTTTTGCCGGGCTGACGCGCAGAACTTGGCGCAGAAACAGCCAGGTCTAGCTGGCCCTTCTCAGCAAGGCGGTTACAACATTCAAGCACCCTCGGGGTAGCTGGCCGCGGTTTGCGTTCTGCTTTTCTTTTGGTTTCCCTTTGAAGCCATCCAAAAAAGGCACCAAAATATTATCAGAATCCAAACCACTGGTAAATATGTTCAGATTGTTCCAAGTTAATATGTTCAGATTGTTAATTTCAAGTTACCCGAACAATTAAGTTGAAATATCGGAGAGACCCCAGTTGTCTACCCTTCCAACTTTTCATTTGCCGCCCCGCGGGCTTAGCAGGCATTCACCTGAAGAGATATAGTAAAGCGATGCGCCCTTGAAGGCTGCAGCCATCCTGCCAGCGACGAGCAAAAAGAGGAATGGCGGCTTAGGTGATTTGGACAAACGTGGCACTGGTATGAAAATTCTGAACACGCCATGTTTGAATCCAGTGTGTATTTAACAAACCTGAAAGAACAAAAGAAAAAAACAAAGAAAAACAAACAATGGCAGGCATATGCTGGAAGATCAGGCGGTGTGCGAACCGCACGCCTCAAAGAAATCTATGTACAGCTGGACTGGGACTTCCGGCCAGGCGAGGCCCTGCAAAGCCCGAAGGTATGGTCGCCAAGGGGTGAAGTTTTTGCTAAACGTCAGGCAACCAAATGGGTATGGGTCAACATTAAACCACCAGGAATTGGACCGCAGGTTTTGGTCCATGTTTCCACTTGCCAGGGTTCCAGTTTAAGTACATATGTTTGACCCAAATGGGAACCCCGGATGACTTCAACCTTTGAAGGGGAAACCCAGAATGACCCCTGTCCCTTTTTATGAACTCACATCGTAACGGCTAGGATTTGTTTCTCGAGCCGGAAACGCGCACCTCGCAGCTCTTGACCTCGTTGTTTATCATATATATATATATATTGGGGGTGCCGCTGTCTTCGGGAATTCACTTTGGCAAACACACCCTAGGACAGGCTTCTTGTGTCCCCTCTCCTCGGGAAAGGCGAAGGCCGGGCACTAAGAGACCTCTTCGCTTGCGGGTGCGGGCTGCCTCAAACTGAGCTCCAAGCACGGGTCCTCCGAATCCTGCGGCAGAAGTTCCAAAGCGACCACTTCGGAGGCCTCTTTGGTGGCAAAGGAATCAAAGGGCTCCCCAGTTTGGAGAGAACCCGCATTCCTACAGCCCTACGCAAAAAGGTCCCCTACAAAAGCCCACATCCCAGTTCTCAGTGACCTCGCCAGGAAAAAAAACACTGAACAACTTGGCTTTCTTTGGCTTTCATGAACACGGCCACGTTGGAAAACAAAACGCACACCTGAATACAAATATGTTCTTGCGGCATGGTCTTGTTCATGCCCGTTCAAGCCCGAATCTCAAGACATGGCTCGCTTCGATCATGCGGATGGGTCATACAAAGTCGCCCAAAAGTGTACCCTCCAAAAAAGAGAATAGGCTCTTGGTGCTCCCCTGCAATTTCAGATGTCCAGAACATGTTAAGTCAGGGTGGGACCAAGCCCGTTAAACATGTTCAAACACCATGTTTGAACAAGGCTTTCTTGACGGGACCAGCGTCTAGCCGCTTTTCCACGGTTTTTGCCCGCGTCAAATGCAGCTCAAAGGACACCCGCTGAACGAACCAACCGGCCCAAATTTACACCGGCTCATCCCTTTCGGTTCCCCTTTGCTTTAATTGGCATCCGGTGAATGTCCAGGACAGCCCGCTTGGCCACTTCCCCGCCGAAGAAGTGCCCAGACATTTTTCCTTCCCCCTGGGCATCCCCAAAATCGACGACCCGACGTTTCCCCCCCACCTCCGGGCATCGCCAACATCCGCAAAAAAAAGAAAGAAAAAAAACAAACGACGACTCGGCGGCCTTGCCTTGGTAAAGGTCCTGGCCATGAGGCAGCAGATCACCGAGCAGGGCAGCCAAAAGGACAAGCCCAGCAGAAAGGCGCCCTTTCGGCCCAGGAAGCCTTCCCAGCTGGCGACCACCACGGGGCCCAGACCTCGAACGGTCACCCGATGTCACCCGGTTCCGAGAACTCACAGTTGGCTTCTGAAAACGGACACCGTGTAGTTGGTTTGGGTCGTTTTGGGTTCCCAAAGATCCCACCCTCCACATTCACATCGAACCCGCAAAGGGGGAACGGGATGGATGAACCCCTGCTTGCTAAATACTGGGTTGTCCTATTTGAGCAAGGGACTCCTTCACTTTTGAGGCACTCCATATTCACCCAGCAGGTTGATAATCTGCGGTCGACATTATGACATTACCCCAAAGGCAGCCCCCCTACAAATGCCAGCGCTTGTGGAGTCCATGAATTTCCGCAGGGTTCAGAAGCAAACAAACACCGCCCCACGGGCCGCCTTCCAAGGGAAACCGAGCGCCACCGAACACCTTGGATAAGCATGGGTTGAAGAAGGTGAAGCGATTCGCCCTCCTTTTGATGGTAAAGCAGTTTTGCCTAGATGTCCAGCTTTACAAAGTGACACTCGGAAATCCCCTCGATTTTCACATAGGAGAGGGGGGAACATAGAGGTCCTTCGAGAACCTGACATATGCGGAGTGAGTCAAAGACATACCGAGACGCCAAGCCACTGAAACCACAAAAAAAAGAGAGCGGCAGAACATGGCATAAGACCATACGGTACGGGCGAGCTTGGCCAAGGCCACGGCACCTTTCCCTAAGTCGTCCATGATGTTGTAGATTCCAAAAACCGAACCGCGGCAGTGGGCGGGCACCGTGTTCAACAGCACCGCCTTGGCGTTGTTGCCGGTGATCGCTTCAAGTGCACCCCCCACAAGTGCCAGAGGCATAAGCCAGTGCGGAGCAATCTGGCCAGCACAGGAGAAGAGGAGAAGCAACCTCAGTGGCTTTTTCGCCTGTGCAAAAGGGTACCAACTTTTTTTCTGGACGTCTATTTTAGTAGGGGAACCCTCCCCAAAACAAGGGGTAAAAGGGTACTACTCGGGGACCTAGAAAACAAACTTTTGTTGATGAGAGGAAGATCTCGCACTCACTGGAGTGGAATGGCCCGAACAAGCGACCAAACTGTAAACTGTTTGTTCGCCACGAAGTGAACCCCCTGTTCCAAAAATATTTTTGCTGCTTAGGCTGGGTGGGAAACGACAAAACGTTAAAGGCTGAGGATCCACCCAAACTGAGGCCAAGCAACGGGATCATACCGCCACATGCGCAGATGGCCATAAGCCATGCCAGAAGTTTCTTGTCCTGACTTCAGGCGCGGCAGAAGCTCAACCTCATGAACTAAAGCCGTCCAAACCCAACAGAAACCAGTCAAATAATTTGTTTCACGCCGGTTGCCTTATATAAACATACTAGCAAGCGAGCGAGCGAGCAAGTAAGCAAGCAAGCAAGCAAGCAGCCAAGCAAGGAAACCAAGCAACCAACAAAGAAACCGCATTCTTCTAGGATACCTCTTTTGGCTTCTTTTGAAGCAACACCAAAAGCAAAACACCAACCACGCAAAGGGCTCCCCCATTTTGAGACCCAAACCAACCGAATGAAAGGAACGCGACAACCACCCAGCCCAACCCAGCACACCCCGCCCACCCGTCCACCCACCCACCAACCCACCCACCCACCGACCGACCGACCAACGAACCCACCCCACACCCAACCCAACACACCCCACCAACCCACCCACTCAATCTAACCTAACCTAACTTACTAGCGTGACTTATTCCGCGCATCAAAACTCCTCACAGTCTAGGAGCGCTGGAGCCAACAGAGGCGACAGCCGCCAAGTTGGACACATTTCAACTCAAAAGGTTAAGGAGGATCCTGCACAACAAAGCCAACACAAACCAAGAAGTTGACCGAAGGGTGAATGAAGCGATGGACATTGACACAAACCGAATTGTATACATGAATGCGTGCAGGAGTGCGTGCGTGCATGAATGCATATATGCGCTGATGCATGAACCCATGATTCTTGCCAGTTTGCTGGGAGCCTTGCATGCGCACATGATTCCTACATCTGCAGGCCAACAAACGACGCCATTCAAGCTTGCAAGCGCTTTTTCGCAGCTAGGAGACTTTGAACAACTCCTTGGTCGAGCCTCATTGCAGCCCGACTTATGAAGTTGCACGTTTGTCGCGTGGCTGCCTGTGGCTAAAACAGCAAACAGGCGCGCTGCGTACTTGAGGCTGATTTTGACCTCGGTAATTCCTTGCGAGTTGCAAGGTCGTGGCAAGCTCTTTGGCCTTCGCTCATTGGCTTCCGACTTGGGTTCAAGCTGCTTGTTCGCCCAACCCACCCGACCACCCAACCCACCCAACTCAACCCAACCCAACCCTACCTGACCCCACCCACCCTCCCCACTTTAACCCAACCCCAACCCAAGCCAAAACCACCTCCACATGAATTTATCCATGCGGAGAGGGCATGGTGGACTCTCCTTGACAGGCCTCGAATCCATCCCCGCCCAACTTCGCTCCTTCTTGTAGAGCCGCTGCCCCAGCTTCCCGCCCACCGAGGTGCCCAAGGCGCAGCCCACCCCGAAGGCCAGCATCACCCGTGTGGCCGCCGCCAGACCCATCCGCCCGTCCGTGCTGAGGTAGTCCTCTCGCGCGTGCCGAGTGCTGCGGCGCGAAAAACACCCGGCGCCCAACGAAACGGCCCCAAGTGGGAAATGGAAACCAAGACGAACAAAAACTAAAGGCTGCTCAAAAAGACATAGGTACCCCACAAGTGGCCCCACGTGGAAGCAAAAACAGTTCAAACCTGCGGTTTGCGAAAGAAAAAAGAAAGCTGCTAAGAGCCTATCTGGGCGAAGGCCCCATGGCTTTCAGCTGTTGGGGGGGAAGCTTTGAGCACGCGTTATTGGAAAGGGTTGAGTTTGTATAAAGGAAACCAGCAAATGAGAAAGGGGGAACCTGGAAAGGGAAACCCTCAAGAGGGATTTAATCACTTGTTTACCATGTTTTGGTGGGTTGATATATTCTAAAGGGAAACCTAGGAAGGGAAACCAAAAGGGCGCCCAATGCCCGCTGAAGCCATCACCCCTTCGGCCCACTGGCAAGGGGGGAAAACCGGAAGGCTTCCACCACGCCCCGTCTGAGTCCGTGAGGAAGGTGGCGATCACCGCCCAGGGCACGCAACCCAACATGGCCTTGGGGAGTAGAGTTTGGCTGACGCCAAAGGGAACACACGAGATGGTCTTCTCGTTTCGAAATCTCCAAATCCCTTCTAAAAGTGACTCACTTTTAGTGGTTTAATTCGGAAAACCCACTAGTTGGCAAAAAGTGAAAGTCCTAACATCCAGGCAAAATGCACCAATGTCTTGGTTTGCGGCATCCAAATCAACAAGTGTCCACTGTGCTGCTGTGATTGGCGTACTTGACCATTGCTATTGAAATGTGTTTGTCGCCTTTGAGTTTCCGGAGCCGGACTTTCCAACGTTCCACCTGGCGTCTGTTGCCTTTTCAGAAATGGCTTTGCCAGTCTGGGACTTCTTTGTGCTTTTGGCTTCGATGCCCAACACAGAACATAAAACCCCATTGTATGCGGCTGCTTCGGTCGTTTCCGCCCGGCGGGCTTCGGCCTCAGGAATGGCTGCAATGCCATCGAGAACAATACACAAAACCATGGCCTTCTTCTGGCGCAAAAGGCTCCATGTCTTGTCCTTGTCCTTGCGAAACGAATTACTGGGCCCACAGAGCAGCCGACCGAAAGCCGGTCTCCGGACATCCGAAAGAAGCCGAAGGCTTCCCAAAGCTCTGGAGGCTTTCCAGAGCTCGGCTTCCCCAAGCCAGACCAAAAGCGCCAAAACCGCAGAGCGCCACCCCCCCTCCCCCAAAAAATGGAGAAAAGAGGGGGCCTGGGGGGAAGAGGGAGGAGTGTTGGGGTTATTGGGTCAAATGTTGTTATCCAACGTTTTAACACCCTTGTTTGATTTCTTCCTATATTTTGTTGTAGGGTGTTAGGCGTGGATTTTCTGGGGGCCGACATTTTTTTCACTTGAAAGAGGTAGCCCTTTTAGTAGTTATTATGTTCTGGGGTGTTGGTGGTTCATTTGTTTATTCCTATTCTTGTTCAAAGTCACTTGTTGTTTCCATGTAATCTCTCACAGTATCGTTATTGTTTTCTTGACCTTTCACTCTTAGTTGGTGCTTACTTGTTTGTTGGTGTTTTTTCATTTTGTATTTTCCTACCATACATTTACATAAAGGACATTCTACTTTCAATTGGTTATAGTCTTTCTGTTTTTCATTTATGTCTTCTTTGTTCTTTTCTCTATATTCTTTTGATTTTTGCTTTATTTCGTCTTTATGCTTTTCACGATAAATCTTGTTCTTTTCCAGTATAGTGTCTTTGTTATTCTCTCTATATGTCTTTTTCTTCTCTACAATCTGCTCTTTGTTGTTTTCGTAATACTCCTTTGACTTTTGCTGTATTTGTTCTTTGTGTGCTTCTCTATACCGTCGTTTGCTCTCCAAGCATACATTACATTGTTTTCTTCCTTCGTTGAACTTTTCTAACAATTGAAAGACTTTACATTTGGAACATTGCTTTTTGTCTGTCATTGGTCTCTATATGTTTAAGGGGTTATTTCTTTAGATGAGTTTAAGGGGTGTTATAGGTTAAAAGTTCAGTATAATTATAACATATAAGATTTTACATGTTATTATTATATTATGATTATAATTTCAGTTCAGGATAATAATCTAATTGGTTTGTCTTACTTCTTTCATACATCATTTTAAAAATAATATTAACATCTCTCACTGTATTCTGAACATTAAACTTTTTACTTTCAATAAATAATTTGATATTTTCTTTAACATCTTCTCCTTTCTCTTGACTATAACCCAACATCCATAATATATCGTAAATCATTTCATATTTTTCTTACTGATTTTAAGAAACTGTTTAACACAGTCGTAACGTGGTATTTTATTTACAGTTAGAAATATTAAAATATCATCTTCTACATTTCTATTATTTATTCTTTTTATTTCCAACAGACATTTGATTAAAAATTGATTATCTCTCCATGTTTTACAATTTTTACATATGTCTTCTTCACCATCCATTGAATAATTAATAATATTATTCACTATTTCATTAGGTAAACTCAATCTAAACAATTCCATATTTTCTTTTTTGAAGTGACAACAATCATAGCATTTTTTATCGATATAATTATTGATTCCATCACCGTTCATTTTTCTCTTAATATATAAGGTAATATTTCTTTAAGTAGTTTTGGCTAGGGGGTTGCTGGTCGGCTGGTCTGGGTTTCAGGTTTAATTTAAATGTCTTAACCTTCTTGTTAGATTATAAAACAATGTTTAATCATATTATAATTAGATAATACAAAGCATGTTTCTTCATTTGTTCCATACTCAATTTCAAATGCTGATAACATGAGGGACGACTAGCATAGCAACCGATGGAAAGTGCGACTTTCCACCGTGGAAAAGTCATTTTGCCACCGTGGAAAACACCATTTACCACGACCATGGTTACCTTGACATTCCAGTGTGTTTTACAGAAAATTGCAACTTTCCTTGGTGGAAGAGGTTGTTTTCCACATCGGCGTTTGCCATTTTCCGATGTGTCCTTGGCAGTGAGAAACCAGAGACCAACCAGATAATGAAAAAAGGACGTTGATGTCATTTGCTGGAACAATTTTGAGACACTTGACCATCACAACAAACAAACAAAAATGTCACTAATTAAATCAGCAGGAACCCTATACAACTCATCTTGTTTATGTTTAACATATCCATCACCCCAATCAAACTTTTTACCTGATGGTACAACATTATAACCGAGCGACTTTGCTACTTTACCAACTGAAGAAGTACCACTAAATAGTTCTAATAAGTGCATATATTATTAGAACTATTTAGATAGTAATATTTTCCTTTTCTACATGATGTTCATTGTCATTTGATTTATATGATTGACATTTCTTAGTCTTTTGATGTCTGCTTAATTTACTTTTGCGACCTACTAATCCACACACTTCGCATGCTACATTCTGCTTGTTTTGTTCAAGAATTTGTTCTCTATTTACTTGGTAATACTCTTTCCTATGTTGTTTATGTTCTTCTTTGTTGTTTTGATACCATTCTTTCATTCCGTTCTTTATTTTCTCTCGGTTGAGTGGGTTATACAGTTCTTTGTATTCTTTCGGTGTTCTACCTGCCACACAACGATTGACACATTCTATATTTTGGATATGATAACCTTCTCGTCTAAGTAGTTGCTCTTTACTATCACACGGGTAGTTTTCAATGAGTTCTATCTTACAATTCTCAACTCCGTATTCGTTAAACAACACTCTAGAATTCGAATGTTTGTTTTGCACGTGCTTTTCATCCAAATAATATTTCTGCCTATGTCTTGCCATCCTTTGGCTTAGTTCCTCACACGTGCTTCCTACATAACACTTTTCATAACCAACATCAACTATTTTGTAAATTTTAGCGTTCATATATCTTTCCATATCTGTTAATATCTTTAATCATCTTTTCTTTAATTCATTTTATCCTGAAATGACCATATGGTAGAGAAGTAAAGGCATCAAAATAATATCTTTTATTTTCAAAATTACTCAGAGATTGCTTAACTTGAGACATTGAGAATAACTGATGGTTGCGACTACGAATAAAATTATATGTTATTTCATGCTTTTTGTTTTGAAATAATGCTTCGTGATAGTTCTGATATGACAGTTCTTTTTTCACCTTGTGTTTTACTACACCTTTTGACTTTTTATGTTCATCATCCTCACCGTGTATTGTAAAAGCATATGACTTTGGTTTGAGAGCTATGAATTTGGTAATTATCTTTGAAGAGCATTCGTCCTTAAACATTCCTAAGACCTTTTTATTAGTTTTGTTAAAGCATGGATGTTCAGGTGGATAGTCGCTAAAATCCATGTGTTGCTTTATATCATTGAAATCCTTATAGACATCATCAGTCATTGTTTGAATTACATAACTGTCAGTATCAGTATATATCAATTTGATGTTTTCATTATACTTCTTTTTCAATACATCATAATAAAACTGATACATATGTAATTTGCTTAAATCTAAAATGCTCATTCCCAGGAAAATCGGCTTATCCAATTTCAGTTTCGCTTTAGTTTTTTCAACTCCCACCAGATTTTCATTTATAATAAATCGGTTTTTGAATGTTGGATTATTAACGCATTTTTCATATCTTACCTCATTATCAACCAGTTCAAAGTCCATATGGTTTCTTTTGTCTTCCATAGTTTTTCCGTACACCGCGTTATTCATTAATTTGAATAAATCTTTCTCAAAATCGCTTTTGGCTTCTTTCCTTTTACCAGTGTTGAAGTCAATCCACGGTTTCAACCATGCCCGCTGTTGAAATTTTATTATCCTATGGACTTTACCCATTTTCATTCCCATTTTCAAATAATACTGTAAAGTCTTGATATGAACCACATATTTTTCTTTATCCTTTAGATTTAATATTAACTTACTTGTTTTCTCGTCCTTGGGACTTTTACCATCATAATATATTTTGAAGACTTGCTTTTGATAATCGGAAAGCATATTCACATTTACATTCATTATTTCAGGCGCTAGTGGATAGTCGGAGTGGAAGTCGTGCAATGTTTCGGGATATTCCAAATCAACTTCCATAATATAACCGAACTCATCGTTTTCATTCCATTTTTCAACACTGGGCGTTTTCTTTGCCCACTTGATATTTTTTAGCGGTAACTTCTGGGACATTGCCAAACCATACAAGTTATTAGCATCCAAGTAACTAATATAATTTGATGGCTTGTTCTCATCATATGCTTCCCCCATATACTTATTATTTGCCACTGCTAATTTATGACTAACCTGACACATACCACCTCTCATTCCCTTTTCAACCATCTCAAACATTTCTTGGTCATGCAATTGTTCTATTTCAACACCAGTTTTTAGAAGCATCGCGTCCCATGCGAAATTTGGCAACGTATAATAATGAGCGGGGTCTAAACCGTAGTATTCCATACACAAGTCTCTAAAGTTTTCAAACACATCGGTCAGTAGTAAAACATCAGTTCTTAAATACAAGTCGTGATACTGTCCGAGTGTTCTAATCCCGAAGTGCTTCCATACTTTCAGTGCCCTTTCATAATCTTTATCGCTTACATGTTCTTCACTCAATTTACTGTAAAACGCTTCTTTCGGTGGTAAAGCCCTTTCCTTAAATCTTTCAAAGTCATCAAAGTAGTCATAGGGATAAATACCCTTCTCGGTCAATAAATCCAAATCTTCATCGGTTTTAACATACGGGTTTCTAACGCTGTATCTGAAATTGTTCTTCCAATTCTCACGCTTTTTATCATCCTCATATTTACTCAACTTCACCAACTTATCCAACGAAGACGACAAGAAACTGAAACTGTCCTTGAAACAAAGATTTTTAAAACCAAAGGTCCAAACTTTTCGCTGTTCTGAGCGATACATTCTATTTTAGAATTCTTGTTCAGTTCGTGAGCCTTGTTGATGATTAAGTGGGCATCGTAGTTTTTAAGGTTATGAAGAAACACAGGGATTTTATAATATCTCATACTAAATCGTAGATTGCAGTCCTCGTGGGCGCAACCTCTATACTGTCCCGTAAAGTGGCAATGGTCCCAACACTTCTTTTCACCTTCCTCAAACTTGTTTCCGCAAATGAAGCAGTTAGTGGCATTATTGAAG